TTAACAAAGAAAGAACAGAAAAAGAAAGCACAATAAAAAGAAAAATAGTAAAGAGCTTTATTGTTTTATATTTGTTTTTATAATTACAAATATCGCTATCCAAAATAAATAATTGTTTTTACCTAACATCAAGTGATAAATTTGAGAGATTAATGCAATTCGCTAAACCTGAACCTAAGCCTGATACACCTTCGTTACCAATTTAGTTCTAACTTTTTAAATATTGAAAAAATATAGATAATTAAATAGCTAATTTGAAGGAAAAAGTGAAGAAAAAATATGAAATTATAAGATTAATTAATTAATAATAAAAGAAAAAGTTGAAAATAAAATAAGTTCAATAAAAAGAAAAAGAAAAAAGAGCTTTATTATTTTAAAATAGTTTTTATAATTAAAAATATCACAATCCAAAACAAATAAAAGTTTTTACCTAAGAAGAAGTGTCAAATTTGAGAGATTAATGCAATTTGCTAAAGCAGAACCTAAGCCTGATGCACCTTCATCACCAATATAATTTTCACTTTTTAAATATTGAAGAAAAAATATATCATTAAATAGTTAATTAGAAGCAAAAAATGAAGAAAAAATATGAAATAATAAGATTAATTAATTAATAATAAAAGAAAAAGTTGAAAATAAAATAACAAAGAAAGAACAAAAAAAAGCAAGTTCAATAAAAAGAAAAAGAATAAAGAGCTTTATAATTTTAAAATAGTTTTTATAATTAAAAATATCACAATCCTAACAAAACAAATAAACTGTTATTACCTAAGGTAAAGTGTCAAATTTGAGAGATTAATGCAATTTGCTAAAGCAGAACATAAACCTGATGCACCTTCATATACAATTTTATTGTAACTTTTTAAATATTGAAGAAAAAATATATAATTTAATAATTAATTTGAAGGAAAATATAAAGAAAAAATATGAAATAATTAGATTAATTAATTAATAATAAAAGTAAAAGTTGAAAATAAAATGATGAATTAAATTAACAAGGAAAGAACAAAAAAAGTAAGTACAATATAAAAAAAAAGCAAAAAGAGTTTTATTTTTATAAATTAGTTTTTTTATAATTAAAAGTAATACAATCCAAAACAAATAAACTATTTATCAAGTGTGCGTGTTAATAGCAAAAAATAAAAAATAATAAAAAATGAATTTGAAATGAAAATTAAGTTAAAATAGATAAAATTTTTGTTTTAATAAAAATAAATGAGAAATGATTATAATTTCTATTAGAAAAATTATTTTTTTAAATTGATTTAAATTTAAATATAAATCTTTTATAATATTAATAACAATAAAAATAATATTTTTTAATTAAATATACCGAAAATCAATATGGAGAACCTAGTGAGACAAAAGAGAAGAATTTTAAAACTTTTTTATTAATTAAAATAAATTGAAAGGATATTAATAAATAAATAAATAATTACTTCTTCTAATTCGTTATATTTTTTAATCTATTATATCATTTATTTTTTTTTTCAAAAATATTGAATGGCAATTTATGGAATTTAATTAATTAATTTAAGTGGATAAAAAGAACAAATAAAATATAATAATTAATTATTAAATATAAATTTATATATTTTCTTTTATGAAAAGATATCACATAAAAATTAAGTTAACATTAATTATATACCATAATTTCTCATTAATTAAGGACAAACTCAAATCAAAATTTTTGTAAAAATTTATTCCTCAACATATAGTACTCCTGGAGTTTGGGGGAGGGGGTTGGCGAGAATTAATGAGGATTTACGGTATATAAAATAAGTATATGGATGTTATTTTACATTCAATTTTATATAAAAACTATTGAAATTAATCTGAAATGATATATCAGTCAGTGGAGTTAATAAATTTGCCTTTTATTAATTTTTATATTCGATAATAAATTAAATTTATAGTATATTACTATTACTGATTTAAAGATTATTTAAATGAAGGAATGAACAATAATAATTATGAAACAAAGCTTCTAACGTTAATATAAATCATAGGTTAAATCCTCTTGCTCAAAAATAAGAAGCTTTTCAAATTATTAACCAAAATATAACAATAAAATCCCTTAAATAAATAATAAAACAAAGAAAAAAATCACAATGTTTATTTTTTGTTAATTTGATGAACTTTATTATTTGCACATAAGAACTTCTCATATCAATAAATATGTTTTTATCATTCATTATAAAAAAGAAAGTTTTAATTTATTTTTTTAATATCTACTAAAAATTTTCTTGTTTGATTATTTTTATTAAATCAATAATAAATGAATGATAGGCACTGAAATAAATATAAAAATTGGTTAAAAAACAAAGATTATCAAAATTAACTAAATAATAACTAAAAGAATTAGTAGAAGTAATTAATTAATATTTACTAAGAAATAACAAGAAGTAAATAAAAATAAATGATTTATTCCAAATTAGATCTTTTCTCTTCTTAATTTTAATTTGGTATTGGTGGGTAATACAAAAAAAGGGCACATTATTCGGAACCCTTTTATCTATGATCATAGTTTTGACAACATTTGCATATTTTGTTTACATTCTTTATCAATATTTTACCAACTAAATAGAACCATATTTTAGAAATTAAAGCTTCATTACTGAAAATACCATTGAAATTGACCTAAATACTGATTTGGTGGGATATTAGTTTGTTTATGGGACACAACCTAACTTTAATAAGACTTACATTTCATTTTTAGCCTATTATCATTTAAAAATAGAAAATAACTTGACAATGATACCTCTAAATATAATTAATTTCACCAACCCAAGTTTAGAAGGCTTTTAATGCTTAGATTTCTCTACTTTAAACAATTATTAGCTGACTCTTAATACGAAATAGAATATTTAATCTGCTTTGTGGATATTTACTTATAGATGCATTGACTAGGACACTCAAAAGACTTCTATTTCTGATAATTGTGCTAACGAAACTGACATAGACAACATAAATAATGATAAAAACTCAATAATAAGATTAAAGCTATTCACTTCTCAGTATAACACTAGTTCTTAATAAATGTAGGCAAACTATAGAAATACTTACATAAATCCTGTATCAACCTTATAAATTTTAACATAGATAAAATCAGAAAAACAAGTTACATCTATCAAACAAGGAGCTATTGTTTAAGACTAAAAGTCTTTCTCTTCTCCAATTTCTTATAGCTAGTAGGATTAGCCTACAGATAGAGTGCAATCTGAGGAGCAAGTAGGAGTTGGAAGCATAAGCAGTATTTTTATCTATCTTGATGAAATTGTATAGAATACTCAAATCTAATTTTTAGCTCTTCCTTAAATATTAGCTTCTATTTACAGTGTTTTTACTCTCTTAATGTTCTTAGGAGTATTTGGAAGGTAAATCTCAAGCTCACTTCTTAATAATGATTTGCTGCATATTTTCTTGAAAAACATTATATATTAGATAGCCAGAGACCTGACTCAACCTCCAATTTTTTGAGGAATTACAGAAAATATGTAAATTTATTCACAATATATACCCTCTTTAAAATCTCTAAAGGTGATGGCTGACTTTAGACAGATTACTTTATTTAAGTAAATTTGTTTGTTTAATAAGCAATTTATTAAATTACGAAAATATGATATTTATAAATATAAAAATAATAACAAAATCTATCTATCTCTATTTTAGTTTAAATTATGAATTATAAAATATATATAACATATTATATTTTTGAAAATATTTTTATATTTATTCATCCTTTTTTCACCATTAATCATCAAAATATTCAAAGAAAACTAATTTTTTTAGCTTGAGACAATTTACTTTCAATTATTATGGTTCGTTGATTTTGTTACCACTTTTAATATAAATTATTGTAAATTAATTACTAAAAAAATTAAAAGAATAAAATTTTATATTTTAAATCGATAAATAAAAAAAAGTTAAATGAATAAAAAATAAATAAAAAAATACTAACAAATTATTTAAAAGAGTTAGTTAGTTATATTAAATGTTTTAAATTCACTTTTATATTTAAAAATATCACAATCAAAAACAAATAAACTGTTTTTACATTAAATTAAGTTCCAAATTTGAGAGATTAGTGCACTTTCTTAAACTAGAAACTAAGCATAAAGCAGTTTCATCACCAATTTCATTAAAACTTTTTTAATATTGAAAAAATCATTATGTAATTGATTAGTTAGTTAGAAGGAAAAAATGAAGAAAAAATATGAAATAATAAGAAATTAGTTAATAATAAAAGCAAAAATAATGGGTTAAATTAATAAACAAAGAAACCTAAATAAATAAAATACAAGCAAAATAAAATAAAAAATAAACTAAAATAAAAGCTATAAAAAAAAATTAAAGTTAGTAATATTGTTGTTTTAAATTCATTTTTATATTCAAAAATATAACAATTCAAAACTAATAAACTGTTTTTACGGTAGAACAAGTTTCAAATTTGAGAGATTAGTGCACCTTTCTAAACCAAAACCTATGCTTGTTGCACCTTAATCCCCAATTTCATTACCACTTTTTAATTATTGAAGAAAAAGTATAAAGCTTATTAGTTAATTCGAAGTAAAAAATGAAGAAAAATATTAAATAATAACAAATTTATTAATAATAAAAGCAAAATTGAAATCAAAAAAGAAAGAAAAAAACAAAAAAAAACACAAGCATTATAAATCAAACAAATTTAAAGGGTAATTTAAATAATTATAAGTTCAATTTTATATTAAAAAATAATCCGATCCAAAACAAATAAACTGTTTTTACCTTAGACAAAATATCAAATTTGAAAGATTAGTGAAATTTCCTAAACTAGAACCTAAATCTGATTTACTTTTATCATCTATTTTAATGTCACTTTTTAAGCATTCGACAAAAAGTATATAGTTTAGTAGTTTAGTGTGGAAAAATGTAGAAAAAATATGAAATAATAAGAAATTAATTAATAATAAAAGCAAAAGATGAGAATTAAAAAATGGCTTTTATTAATAAACTAAGAAAGAAAAAATACAAACAAAATAAAGAAAAATAAATAAATCAAATAAAAAGTTAACAAATAAATTAAAACAGTTAATAATATTGTTTAAATTCATAATACTTAAAAATATCATAATCCAACACAAATAAACTGTTTTTACTTAAGATAAAGTTCCAAATTTGAGAGATTATTGCATTTTCCTAAACCAGAACCTAAGCCTGATATACCTTCACCACCGAATTTATTGCCACTTTTAAATATTGAAGAATAAATATATTGATAATTTGAAGGAAAAATTTAAAAAAAAATAATAAGAAATAAATTAACAAATTAATAATTTAAAAAAAAGTTCAAAATAAATAAAGAAGTTTAAATAATAAAGAAAGTAAGAAAAAAAGATTAATCAAATAAAAAACTAACATATAAATTAAAGGAGTTAACTATTTTGTTTTAAATTCAATTTCATAATATAACAATCAAAAATAAATAGACTGTTGTTACCTTAGTATAAGTGACAAATTAAAGAGATTAGCACATTTTCCTAAACCATAACCTAAGCCTGATACACCTTCATCACCAAATATATTATACCTTTTTAAATATTTAAGAAAAAATAAATGGTTAATTTGTTAGTTAGAAGGAAAAAATGAAGAAAAAATATGAAATAATAAAAAATTAATTAAAAATTAAGTAAAAGTTGAAAAAGCAAAAATAAATGAAACAAACAAACAAACAAAGAAAAAGAAAAACATAGGCAGAATAAAAAAATGAAAAATATATCAAAGAAAAGCTAACAACTAAATTAAAATTTTGATAATTAAGATAAACTAAAAATAAATTATTCTTAAGAAGAAATTTCTCAAAATGAAGAAATTATATAATAAATAATAATAAAAGTAAAACAAAGAAAGAAAGAAGAAAAAAAAATGCGAGCAGAATAAAAAAAAGAAAAATAAATCTAATAATAAGTAAAAAAGAAAATAAAAGAGTTCATTATATTGTCTTAAATTCTTTTTTATATTAAAAAATATCTCAATCTAAAACAAATAAACTATTTTTACCTAAAATCAAGAGTCAATTTTGAAAGACTAGTGCAGTTTTCTAAACCAGAACCAAAGCCTGATGCACCAATTGCACATATTTTATTATTACTTTTTAAATATTGGAAAAAAAAAGTAGTTAATTTAGCTAAACTCGAATAATTATTTCTTGAGAAAGAAATATAGATTTAGTAGAACAATAAATATTATTTATTTATTTATAACTAAAAAATGTTTAATCTAGAATTAATTTTTTTTGCAAAAAAAATGAATGAATAAAATTTTTAACTCTAAAAATTAAATTTTTGATGAAAAATTGAGTTAGATTTCTTCATTAAAAAACAAACAAATTAAAAATCTTAAATTAAACATTTTTTATATTTTTTATTTTTTCAGGTTCGAAACCTATTTATTTCGATATTTTTTTTATTATTTTAAATTTTCTTTAAATTTATAAAATAATATTTATTTCCTTGTAGATAAATATTTCTTCTAGAATAGCAACACTTAGTTAGAAAGAAAAAATGAAGAATAAATGTTAAATAGTAATAAATGAATTAACTAGTTAATAATAAAAGTAAATGTTGAAAATAAAAAATGATTTCAATTAACAAAGAAAGAAAAGAGAAAGAAAACAATAAAATAAAAATGAAAAATAAATATAAATCAAATAAAAAGTTGTAATAAGTAAATTAAAAGTGTTAATTTTTTTTATTATTATTTCAATTTTATTTAAAAAATTATCACAATCCAAAACAAATAAACTGTTTTTACCTTAGATCAAGTGTCAAATCTGAGAGATTAGTGCTCTATCCTAAACCAGAGACTAAGCCAGAAGCACCTTCATCACCAATTATATTATTACTTTTTATATATTGAAAAAAATAAAGAGTTAGTTAGTTAGTTTGTTAATTGAAAAAATTATGAAAAAATATGAAATAATAAAAAAAATAATAATAATAATAATAGAAATTGAAAAAAATAGAAAAATAAATATATTGAATAATAAGCAAATAGATAAAATAAAAGAGTTGATTGGCTGTATTGTTTTAAATTTAATTTTATATAAAAAAATATAACAATCTAAAATAAATAAATAAACTATTTTTACCATAGATAAAGTGTCAAATTTTGGAGATTAACGAACTTTCCTAAACCATAACCTAAGCCTGATGCACCTTCAACGCCGATTGCATTGTCACTAATTAAAGATTAAAGAAAAATAAAGAGTTAATTAGTTAAATAAAAGAATGAAATGAAGAAAAAGTATGAAATAATAACAAATGAATTAAATAATTAATAACAAAAGTAAAGGTTGAGAATGAAAAAATGAGTTAGATAAAAAAACAAAAAAAAAAACACAGGCAGAATAGAAAAAAAGAAAAAGAATTTAATTTTTAAATTAATTTTTATATTCAAAAATATCATAATCCAAAACAAATAAAATATTTTTACGAAAGATTAAGTGTTAAATTTGAGAGATTTTTGCACTTTCCTAAACCAGAACCTAAGCCTGATGTACCTTTATCACCAATTTTATTACCACTTTTTAAATATTAAAGAAAAATAATTTATGAAACAATAATAAATGAATTAATTAATTAATTTATTTATAAATAATGAGAGGAAAAGTTGAAATTGAAAAAATGAGTTAAATTAAAAAACAAATAAAAAAAAAACATTTGATAAGTAAAAAAAAGAATAATAAATCTTATAAAAAGCTAATAAATAAATAAATTATTAGAGTTTGTTTTATTGTTTAAATTCATTTTTATATTTAAAAATTCATAATTCAAAACAAATAAATTATTTTTACTAAAGGTTAAGTGTTAAATTTGAGAGATTAAGGCAGTTTCCTAAACCAGAACCTAAGCCTGAAGCACCCTCTTCACCAATTTGATTTCCACTTTTTAAATATTGAAGAAAAAATATGAAATAATAAGAAATTAGTTAATTAATTATTAATTAATATTAATAAAATAAAAAGTTGAAAGTGAATAAATAAATGGTGGGTTAAATAGATTAAAAAGCAAAAAAGAAAAAAAAAAATAAGATGAAAAAAAAAAAGAAAAACAAATAAAATTAAAATCCTGAAAAGTGTATTGATTTAAATATATTTTATATTAAAAATATCATAATTCAAAACAAATGAACTGTTTTCACCTTAGAAAGAGTGCTAAATTTGAGAGATTAGTGCACTTTCCTAGACCAAATCCTAAGTCTGGAGCACCAACTGCATCAATTACATCAATATTATTATCCCTTTTTAAATATAATAAAAAATATAAAGTTAAATAGTTTGTTTGTTCAAAAGAAAGTAAAAGTTGATAATGAAAAAAGGAGCTAAATTAATAAACAAAGAAGAAAAAGATCAAGCAGAATAAAAAAAGAAAATAAATCAAATAAAATGCTAATAAATAATCTAAAACAAATAAATTATTTTTACATAAGATTAAGTGTCAAATTTGAGAGATTAGTACACTTTCCTAAGTGAGAACCTAAGTATGATATACCTTTATCACCAATTTTATTCCTACTTTTTAAATATTGACAATAAAATATAGCTAATTAGTTAGTTAGAAAGAAAAAATATGATATAATAAGAAATAAATTAATAATAAAAGCAACAAAATAAAAAAGTGAGCTAAATTAGCAAACAAAAAAAGAAGAAAAAAAAATACAAAATAAAAATAAAAAAAGAAAATTAAATAAAATAAAAAGGCTAATATATAAATTAAAAGAGTTAGTATCTTATTTTAAATTAATTTTTATATTAAAAAATATAATAAATCTAAAAAAAATAAACTGTTTTTACTCAAGATTAAGTGTCAAATTAAAGAGATTAGTGCATTTTTCCAAACCAGAACCTAAGCTTGATACACCTTCATCACCCATTTTATTACCACTTTTGAAATATTGAAGAAAAAATAAATATACATTTAATTTGTTATTAAGAGTAAATATGAAATAATAAATAGTTAGTTAATTAGAAATAAAATTAAAAGTTAAAAATAAGTTAAATTAACAAAGAAAGAAAATAATCGCTAAGAAGAAAAAAAAATAAATCCAATTAATTTGTCATTTTTAAATATTAAAGAAAAAAAATATAGTTAATAAATTAATTAGTTAGTTAGTTAAAAGAAAAAAATGTAGAAATAAAATTAAATTTTAAAAAATGAATAATTAATTAATAAATATTTAAATTAAAAATTGAGTTAAAATTAGTAAAAAGATATTCTTTGTTTTTATAAAAATGAATCAATATAACAGATAATAATTTTTTAGAAAAAAATATTATTGTAAAAAACTTGAAAATTAAATATAAAAAATATTAATAAATTAAGAATATATACATACATACCTCATACCAAGATAGAGAACCTAATGAGATTAAAATGTAGAGTCTAGAAACTTTTTTTATAAATAAAAATAAATTTAAACAACATCAATAAAAAAATAGAAGTTTGTTTACTTCTTCTAGACAGTTAAAACATTTTTCTTCTTATATCATTTATTATTATTTTTTTAATATTGAATAACAATTTATGGAAATTTAATTAATTAAAAGTATATTAATAAATTAATTAATTTTTATATCAAATTAATTAGGATTAAAAGAACAAATAAATAGATAAATAAATTATAGTAATTATCAAATACAAATTTATAAATTTGTCTAAAGGAAGAGATATTTTTAAAATTAGTGTAACTAATATTCATTATTAAATAAAAATTAACATTTCAATTTAAAAATTATAGTTAAAAATATAATAGGAATTTGTTTTTAATTAATTAATTGTTTAGCTTAGCTTAGCTAAGTAGAAATCAGAAAATTCAAAAAAGTAATTAAATTTAATTGAATAAAAATATATAATATATTATGTGTCAACTGCCCCACGGCCACGGGGCATATATAAAATTTTTTAGATTGGGTCTGGATGAATTTAAAGCAAAAAAATTTGCGAAAAAATAACTGGTTGATCGATAACATAAATTCAGATATATACATAAAATAAGCATATGAATGCTATTTTACATTCAATTTTTATATAAAAATTATTGAATTTAATTTGAAATGATATATCAGTCAGCGGAGTTAATAAATTAGCCTTTTATTAGTTTTTTATATTTGAAAATAAATTAAATTTCAAGTATATTACTATTGCTGATTTAAAGATTATTTAAATGAAGGAATAAACAATAATAATTATGAAATAAAGCTTCCAATGTTTATAAAATTCATAGGTTAAATTATCTTGCTCAAAAATAAGAAGCTTTTGGAATAATTAACCAAAATATAACAATAAATCCCTTAAATAAATAAAAAAGCAAAGAAAAAAATCACAATGTTTATTTTTTGTTAATTTGATGAACTGTATTATTTGCACATAAGAACTTCTCATATCAATAAATATGTTTTTATCATTCATTATAAAAAAGAAAGCTTTAATTTATTTTTTCAATATCTGCTAAAAATTTTCTTGTTTGATTATTTTTATTAAATCAATAATAAATGAATGATAGGCACTGAAATTAATATAAAAATTGGTAAAAAACAAAGATTATCAAAATTAACTAAATAATAACAAAAAACATTAGTAGAAGTAATTAATTAATATTTACTAAGAAATAACAAGAAGTAAATAAAAATAAATGATTTATTCCAAATTAGATCTTTTCTCTTCTTAATTTTAATTTGGTATTGGTGGGTAATATAAAAAAAAGGGCACATTGTTCGGAACCCTTTTGTCTATGATCATAGTTTTGACAACATTTGCATATTTTGTTTACATTCTTTATCAATATTAAACCAACTAAATAGAACCAAATTTTAGAACTTAAAGCTTTATTACTGAAGACACTATTGATATTGATCTAAATACTGACCTGGTAGGATTTTAGTTTGTTTACGGGACACAACCTAACTTTAATAAGACCTATATTTCATTTTTAGCCTATTATCATTTATAAATTTAGGATAACTTTACAATGATACCTCTAAATATAATTAATTGCACTAACCCAAATTTAGAAGGCTTTTAATGCTTAGATTTCTCTACTTTAAACAATTACAAGCTGACTCTTAATACGAAATAGAATATTTAATCTGCTTTGTGGATATTTACTTATAGATGTATTGACGAGGACACTCAAAAGACTTCTATTTCTGATAATTGTGCTAACGAAACTGACATAGACAACATAATTAATGATAAAAATTCAATAATAAGATTAAAACTATTCACTTCTTAATATAACACTAGTTCTTAATAAATGTAGGTGAATTATAGAAATGCTTACATAAATCCTGTATCAACCTTATAAATTTTAACATAGATAAAATCAGAAAAATAAGTTACATCTATCAAAGAAGGAGCTATTGTTTAATACGAAAAGTCTTTCTCTTCTCCTATTTCTTACAGTTAGTAGGATTAGCCTACAGATAGAGTGCAATCTGAGCAGTAAGTAGGAGTTGGAAGCATAAGCAGTATTTTTATCTATCCTGATGAAATTGTATAGAATACTCAAATCTAATTTTTAGCTCTTCCTTAAATATTAGCTTCTATTTACAGTGTTTTTACTCTCTTAATGTTCTTAGGAGTATTTGGAAGGTAAATCTCAAGCTCACTTCTAAATAATGATTTGCTGCATATTTTCATGAAAAACATTTATCTGGATACCTATTTGAAAATTGCTGATTGTTAGACAACTAAATAAGAGAATCTATAGTAATTAATTTCAATATAAATAATTAAGAATTCAAAGTTAATTATAATATTAATAGCCAAGTAAATTTAGATTCAAGAAGGCAGGATATTAAAGAAAGCCAGGCATAAAATTTACACTAAAACAATAGAAGAGAATTCATAGAAGAAAACGCAGGAGAAGTTGATGAATAAAAACCTGAAGAAGAAAAATCACAAATATTTGTTCCTGCTTTTCGTAATAGGTAAAAAAATTCTTTAGATGTTGATCAGTCATCAAATTTATTTAGTCCTACTAACTTTGATAGATAAGCTTTTTTGTAAAAGTAAGCCTTAGTTGTGGAAAACTAAGAGGTTTGTATATAAAAATGTTAAGATAAATTAATTAATAGGAATTCAGTAATCTCCTAGTATAATGAGGAAAGCTGTTAAGAAAAATAAAATATTATTCAGGATTGTGTTATAGAAGAACCAACTTAATAGTATTAAATTACATAGAAAACAGAGATGACACCTGGAAATTTAGTTAACAGGAATTTAGTACTCTCCTTTTATAATGATGAAAATTTTAAAGACGAATTAAATAACCTTCAGGACTATGTAAAAGAAGAATCAACTTTATAGCATTAAATCACCTAAAAGTCTGAGATGTCACCTGAAAACTGCTAAAGATCCTTTATTTAAAGCTAGATCAAATCAAATTTTAAAATTAAATAAGAGATAGATTCATAAAGCAAATAAATATGTTAATCTAAAATAAATAAAAATTTTTTTAAAATGCTAATTTAAAAAATATTATCTATTCAAGATGCAAACATTTCAAAAAAAATAAGATCAATCTTTTCTAAAGTTATGTAAGTTTGTTTATTTATTTATAAAATACAATATTAAAAACTGATGAATTTTTTTTTTTAAGTTTTTGTAGATATATTAATTTAAATAGCGTACATGGAATTACTGCTGATCATCAAAATAAAATATAAAAACAAATTACTAATGATTAGAATATTTTAAGCTATTTTAGGGATATTTTATTTTTAAAGAAAGCTGTCATGCTCATGATGACTAAAGATTAGCTAGCAATTTTGTAACTTATAGGATGTTCTTCAAATTTTTTAGATTTAGATCTAGATAAATTAGAAACTGATCCAACTTAATTAGGTAAAGTTCTTTCATCTATCTTGTTAGTTAGTTTATTTATTTTATATTAAAATATCTAGAAAAATTTAACTCCTTAAGCCATTTCGAAGCATAATTTGCAATTTATTAATCGAAAAGCTTACAGAAGAAATATGCTGACAAATTTTTACAAAGATGCTACGAAAATGAAAAATTAAGCTACTTAGATAATAAAATTTTATCTTCATTAAAAAAATCTTATTAAAATTGCACATTTAATTAAACAGATAAGTTTGATTTGTGAATATTTATGTTGTTAATGTCTTGCATTTAATATAAAATTATAAATAGTATAACTGTTACTGCGTTTGAAATATTACTAATGAATTTTTTTTTTCTTTCTAAATCTTAATTAATTATTTTCTTTATATTTGATTTCAAAATTTTTCAAAAATTAATCAAAATACAGACAGAAATCTTTTTTCAAATTTTGAGAGTAAAAATATTTTTTTAAAACTTTTTCGAAAGCAAACATCAAAATATCATAAAATTAAAACCAAAAATTCGTGAATTATGTTAAACAATCAATATTATATATATAACAATTTTAATTAATTAATAATAATCATTTCATGTTTATTCCTTACTAATTGCTTTATTAATCAATATTTAAACTCATCAACAATTTCCACATCTTTAAAGCATATTTAGATATCAGAACATTAAAAACCTAAATAAAATCTTAAATCTTCGTATTATTCAAGTTTAGATTTATACTGATCTTCCAATCCTAGTTTATATTGATAATTAGGAAAATCAGTCACTTCTAATAATTTATCTTTTAAGCATACTCGTATTTCTATTAAACCATCTTTTTTTGCCTTAAATTCACTTTCTCCTTTAAGTAAGATATTTATTCCACTATTATATTTTTTTTTTAAATATTCATTTTAGCTCTCTAGTGAGCAAGTCAAGTAATCTTCCCACCCACCTTAATTTTTAGAGATAGAATTTCTCATTAGACCTACATAAAATATGTTTCCTTGATTAATTTTTTCAATTTATATCCTAAAAACGTATTTTAGATTCTTATTTAAATCAAAATTAGAAATACAATCAGTAAATGTATTACTATTTATTTTTGTAATGATGTATTCATTATTTGCATTTTTCCTAACTACAATTACTTATTGTCCATTTTAATATTCAGTCCCAAACAAATCTAAATTTAAATTCAATAATCCCTTCTAAGCAGTCATAATTATATCGTTTATTCTATTATTTCCCAAGTTTTTAAGCAAATCAAATTTATTTTTATCTTAAATACAGTTTTAGAAATTTATTTATGTTAAGAATGGTTGCATGTCAAGGGTCCACTTTTCAAATTTCTAAATAAATTCTTAATCTAAGAAAT